ATACACACAGACACACACACACACACAGACACACATGCACACACACACTTGTACACACACACACAGACAGACACACACACACAGACACACACACAAACTAATGTCTGAATCTGTTTTTCGATAAATTCTATCCAGACTGTGTTCAAATTAGTCAATGACCATGTTCTTATTTTCACCTTTTGGTATCTTTGTTCAGGAATCCTCCAAGCCAGCTTACCCTCATGGAGCTCCACAATGAGTTGTTGAATAAAGTCACAAGTATGCTTCTGGAGAGGGTCGGCCAATTTGGTATCAGCGCAGAGAAGAGGAGCAGTGAGAACGAGGATTTGATTGACGAACTGCAAAAACGCTTGGGTAAGCACATTTGAAATTTAGCATCTGCATCTTTCTAGGTTTCTGAGGAGCCCGAAAGAGAAGACGAGTGTACCTAAAAAGAAATAAGAAATATAAGAAATGTGTTTATAATAAGAATTGACTGAGATGAGAATGTTCATGATAAGAAATATTCATGATAAAGAAATAAGAAATCGTTTATAATAAACAATTGTTAAGCAATGTTTATGATAAGAAAGGCTTATTGTAAAAAAATTGTTTATTATAAAGACATAATAAGAAATGTTCATGATGTTTTAGAAATGTTTATGATAAACATATTTCTGGCTAACATTTCAGTCATGCCGATGACCGGTCAGCAATTTCTCTGTGATTACTGTTTCGCAATAGCCAGCATGTCGTTACCATTATCATGTGGGTTAAAGGACTGTAATCCATTTTATCCCTCAATTATCTAAGACTAGTTAGAGTTACAATTGGCTAAAAACGTCCCATACTACATTTACAACAATTATGTGTTGCAGTTGTAAGAGAGGAGCAGACAGTAGACTATGTGGCAGTAGACGGCACTAGAAGGAAAGAGAAAGGGTTCGTCGTTACCGGCGGGGAGCTTTTGAAGTACATCCAGCAAAACAAAGAACTGTCCAAGACATTCTGCCAGAAGCTCTTTGAACGCTTATTCAACCAAATAAGGTAGCTTTCAATTGAATGCTAATAACAACAGAAAGTCCTTGATCCCTCCTCATCCAAATAATTAATAAAGAAAAAGTAAACTGCCATTGTTTGAAAAGGCAATTTCACTCACGAATATGTCATGAAAAATAGGTTTAAGATATGAAATGTGGGATTTGTGATTACTTATTATGGAATTCTAGATTTGTTATTCCTCTTTTTCATGATCCAACATTCGCTAGAGAACGGGTGGAGTCGCCTCCGGAAGACTATGACTTCGAGCAGTTGTTGGGAGAATTGGAGAATACACGCCAGGAATACAACGAGCAGGCACGTGGTCCAGAAAAATGGACTGTTCTCCAAGAGATGACTCCAAGCATAGAGAAGCTTAAGGTCAACTTTGAAAAGATCGTGGGCTATCAGAGAAAGGTAAATGTTTGTGTTCCTTGGAAGAATTGTACTGGTGTGACAAGGCCAAAACACGGCTTGTATATATAATGATTGTCTTCTCATTGGTTTCCTTCTACAAGAATGTTATGTTTGTGTGTGTGTGTGTGTGTGTGTGTGTGTGTGCGTGTGTGTGTGTGTGTGTGTGTGTGTGTCGTGTGTGTGTGTGTGTGTGTTGTTGTGTGTGTGTGTGTGTGTGTGTGTGTGTGCGTGTGTGTGTGTGTGTGTGTGTGTGTATAACTCGGGAGGCAATGATGGATCATATCATATTTGGCATGTGGGTAGGGTTTGGTGAGCGGAAGAAACGGTTTGATGTTTGACCCCCTGGCGACTTTTAGTGGCAGTGCATTAGCAACACTTTGCGATATCTCGTGATCTGGATATGCCTGGATCACATTGGTTTTTGGTTGGCAGAGAGTCCGTTGAGCAGAGAATAAATGACATAGGTTTGAGACCCTAGCTACGTCTTATTGAACTGCAGGGCAGGCTTTGCAAAATGTTTCAAAGATAATAACTTGAGAGGATTTGATGGATTGTCATGATTTTTGGTATGCAGGTAGTTTAGATAAAAACTACATAATTAGAAAAATTACATAATTAGTAAATAATCGGTATTCCATGTAGGACACTAACTCTTGGCATATGTAACCATGGCAAAGAGAAAAATCGTGCAAAATATTACCTCATTTGTAAAAAAAATGTCATAATAGTACCATAGAGCTGAATGGCAAGGATTTTAGTAATAAACTTGTAATACTTGAATTGCTGTCTCGAAGATCGATTTTTATCGAAGGTATGAGATCGTGGAAATCTAGTTGTGATTAAGATTCTTTCTACGTCATAGCTCTATCTAGTAATTATCAATTTCCTGATGTTTGTGGAATTTAAAATATGCAGTATGTTTCAACATTTTCGATACTCTAGATATTGCAGGCACAACAGAAGGCACATGAGGCAAGGCTTAAGGCTAAGGAACTGACGAGAGAGAAGGATGAGCTTCTCAAGCAAGCACTGGACATGAAGGAAACCCAAGAAGAAAATCTGAAGAACATGTATCGGCTTCATGAACAACAGATCAAGGAGGTACTAGCATAAGATAAATTTTATGTACTCAGAAAATTTAAACTTCTACTGGATAAATTACGCAGACTTCTTCCGGGCGTTTGAGTTACATCCACAACTCTTCTTCGGCATAATTAATGAACTAACATAACTAATCACTCCACACTAAGACAGAAACTGGTTCACCATAAAGACCAGGCACAGAAAGCTATCAGAGGTCATTTACAGGCTGAAGTGTGATGAGCCTTACTGCAACGACACATACATTAGAGAAACGAGCCAACTGCTGAAGAGAAAGGTATAACCAACAGTTACCTATTCTTTTTGCGTAGTGATTGGCTCATCCATATGAAGCTATGGGGTAGTGCCTGGAGTCGCGCGGCGATATGATTCAAATCCATTTTTATCCGTAACGAATGGTGGGTGGGTGGGCGTTTGCGTGTTCCACAATTCTTAGCCTCTCGTCCTAGCTAGCTATCCGAATAAAATCAGAGTCAATATCCCAACTAGTTCATTCTCTTTTGTTCCTCACCCCCTCTCTCTTCTATTCCCGCGGTACTTATCGCCGCGTTACCAGGCTATGCGGATGAGTCTATCGCTTCTGCGCAGTAATCAGCCCGCCTTCTCCTTATAAACCTGCATTTCTCTGGTCTCTCAGTCACTAAAGAAAGCTAGTGGATACTAGTTGAAACGTCTGACGTTTTCAAAATCATATCCAGTTGCTTGAGTAGCTGCTTTTAGAGTTTGAATAGTCTATAAATACTATTTACATGAATTAATGTCCAAACTTCGCCAAGGTCTATTGTATGTACTTTGAATTTAGGATTTTATTAGCAATTTATCAGTGATCATGTTCAACGGATCTTAGCAGATAGAAACCATCGGTTAGGTTTTCGCCGTCTTATATGCTTAAAACAATGCTTACCGCATGTAACTTGACTGCCACTTTTAATTTCAGATAAAACGAGAGATGGAGAAACAGGCACAGATGGAAAGGGTAAGTAAAAGTTGCAATGCCACATAGAAAAGAATTTTGAGCTGAGTTTTCTGACAGAAGACTAGTGAGTTTAAAAACGTACTTTTTTCATTTAAAAGCATTGTAACAATAAAGTGAAGATAATTTCAAAAAAGTTGAGAATGAGGTTCTTCAGAAGAGTAACCAAATAACAATAATGATGCATTGCCAAGTTCACAAAATGTACTTAGAGGAGTTGGGCAAACGTCAAACTAAACATTGAAAATCACACTGCAAAAGCCAGTTGAAAACCTTAAGACACTTACACGGCATTATGTTTTGAAATGGACACAGTCCCATCACACTGATCACAACAACATCATATTTTTCTACTTTCTGCAAAAACTTAATAATCGATCTGGTGCAAAATCTATAGAATTTAAGGAGATGATGAAGAGGTTTGAACAGCAGCAGGCTGACATCCAATTGCAGCTGGAGGAACTAAAGAAACCAGCTCCACCCCCACCTTCATGTAAGTAGTTGTTACTACATTTGTTATCATGGTAAAAAGGTTGAAATTTATCCCAGCACAAAGATTACACAGAGATCAAATTCGTTCTCATTAATGATATGCTCTTTAGGGCATCTTTGTCATTAATACTGATACTAGTACATTATAATTACTTTTGTGTAGGTAACAAAAGGGGCGTACCATCTTGTAAGGTAATCGTACTTCTGCCGCCGACAACAATGTCTAATCTTGAAAGGTTTTGACTTGTCTTACAATCCTGCAACAACTCTACAGCATTAAAAGCTTACATTATTTTAATCAATAGTAAGATAAAATACAACGTAATATATAAATGATACATTTACACACACACACACACACACACACACACACACACACACACACACACACATATATATATATATATATATATATATATATATATATATATATATATATATATATACACCACGGCTCCACATTCTGCCAGACATAATACCCGTTGAACCTATATGTTGAATTTTAATACACTCATACCAGTAAGCAATCTTATTATCCGCCATACATTGTATCTGTTACAAACTTTGATTGACTCAAGTCCACGTAAGTCCATTATTCCTATATAAGACTATTATTTTCCATTTTGTTCATTGCAGCAGATGACGTGATTCCACTATATATAAAAACAAAATACGAAGGAGTCGAACAAAGAGACATCTCAACTGTTTACAAAAAAATAAGGCTTTGTTGACTTTCACAAAATTATAAGAACCATGAAGAACTACAGTGTCTCCAGTATCATGCACTATTTTAAGTAATCGGTCGTAGTAATCTTCGTGAGTCACCATAATTACATACTTTTGCTCTGATTGTTATCGTAATATTTCCTGTAGACTTTCATGAGACTGTGGAAAGCATCCTCAGCCGGATGGATGAAACAGATGTAAGGCTGCTTATGCGGGTGTGGTCGGCACGTACAGGCAAACAGGAAAGTCCAGCGGTGGCCGCGATTCCAGCTGACTGGATAAAGGACATGATGAAGAGTGACTACAAGTACACCACAGCTGGTATGTTACCGGTGTCACAGCGATCTCGCCCCCTAGTGATTTCGCCCTCCCCGGGTCGAGATATCTAGCGATTTCGCCCTTCCCGCTAGTGATTTGGTCCCCCCACCCCCCCTTTAGCGATTTCGCCCCCCCGTCAAAAAAATTAACTATTTCCTCAAAAACTTAAAGCACGTCCAAGCACACAGAGTTGTTAAATAATTCTCATCATAGTATTTTGCTGTAATTGCGGAATTATGTCGCATATAAACACTCTCAAAACTATTTTACCAATGATCAGTTCAAATCCTGTGTTGTTGAGATGCCTATGCTGTTACGTTGAGCATAGAAAGAGAGAATATTTAAACCAAGGAGGTTACTTTATTGCTTCAACCGTACCTATCGTTAGAATTGCACCTGCCATAACTAGGGTACGGTGTAAAAGAGTACACTAGGGGGGGGGGCGAGAGTAGATCGAGGCGGGGCGAAATGCTAGCGATCTCACCCCCACTGGAGGGCGAAATCGCTGGGGGCGAGATCGCTGTGACACCGGAATTTCTGCTTAAAACATATCCAAAATTGCAGACCCCTATATTCACATAATCGCGCATAATCGTAAAGTCAATTTCACTACATTTCACTATTTCAGGTAACCTCAGTATACTGGAAAAGGACATGATGGCAGCTGGGATCAGCTTTCCTGTTATTGTACGAGACATCCCAGGTTGGCTTAAATTCCTTTAGAGCGACCGAGTCCTAGCTTTACAGGCAGTTGAGTGTATGTGTGTGCGTGCGTGTGCGTGCGTGTGCGTGTGTGTGTGTGCGTGTGCGTGCGTGTGTACGTTCGTGTATGTGTGTGTGCGTACGTGCATGTGTGCGTGTGTGTGCGTGTTTGTGTGTGTGTGTGTGTGTGTGTGTGCGCGCGCGCGCGCGCGCGCGTGCGTTCGTGTATTAGTGTTAGCCTCTACCAGGCTTCGGGAGGCGGCTTGAAAGAGTAGAAATCGGGCAAATAGAGAGATAACATGCCGAGGGAGTTGTAAGCAGGGAGAGAACATTTTGCCGCACCCGCGGCCGGGAGCGGCAAACTGTTCTCTCCAGCCGACCAAACTGGGGTTGGTATGCTCTCTCTTTTTGGCCAATCTCTACTCTTTCTAGCCACCTCCCGAAGCCTGGTAGAGGCTATATGTGTGTGTGCGTGCGTGCATGTGCGTATGTGTGTGTGTGTGTGTGTGTGTGTGTGTGTGTGTGTGTGTGTGTGTGTGTGTGTGTGTGTGTGTGTGTACGTGTGTGTGTATGTGTGTGTGTGTGTGTGTGTGTACGTAGTGAGTGTGTGTGTGTGTGTGTGCGTGTGTGCTTGTATGCGTGTGTGTGTGTACGTTTGTGTGTGTGCCTGTGCGTGTGTGTGTGTGTGTGTGGCTTGAGAAATGGTGGACCTATTTTTACTGTCTCCAATTCTTGTCTCAATATTTTGCTAGCTGTATCAAAGGAATTGAAGTACACACGGGCAACAGTGGCTGAAGTAGGACGCAAAGGCGGAGAATTGGAGATTCCTGGTTTTGTCAAACTTTTTGTACCACCAGGCGTCCTTCAACATGACACAAGGATAACCATATCGACCGTAGATGTTGCTGCTATCCTCAGGGATCCTGAGAGCGTAAACTGGCTCTCTGGCTACCCCTGGTCCCTAGGCGAGGACGCCTGTCCACGTGAGCTACTGGGTCAGATGCTGTTCTCCCCAGCGTTTAATGTCAACATGCACGGTGCACAGCTGAATGGGCCAGTGGAGGTGCAAACGTGGCTACACCCAGGCTCTGAAGGGATGAGGTGTGTCATTCTAAAGAATTGTGATGGAGAAGGCTGGGTAGATATCACATCTTCAACAGAGTACCAGATAAACCAGCACAAAATATCAATTTCTTTGAAAAAGTTTTGTCCTATTATGACCGGATGGGCTCCCGCGGATGCTGCAATCTCATCAGTACTACAGACAATGGCCGGGGCTCTATCATCAAGAACTTTAGATTGTCGGTTTGCAGCACACATAAATGCCAGTCCGGAGGATGTCCAGTTCCATGTTGTCTGTAGAGATCGGCGTGTACAGACAGATCAGTACCACCCAGGTTTCACCAAGTGTGGGGGCAATGCAGCAATGTTCGATCTTTTCAATGGTGATGTAATTGACATTGCAGTAAGTATCCGCGAAGGACAGGAATTATTCAGGCAGATTGAACTACGATCCAATCAGTGCTGCGACAAATACGGTCAGAACGTTCAAATGTTGCTGGACAGACCGAATGGAAACCGTGTCAAGGGTGAAGTGGACGTCAATAAGGTTCAAGGGCCATCAAAGCGGACTGTATGTCAGTTCGTTTTCAAAGAGGTAAGAGGTGGTTGTAGCTGTAACTGCAGACATAATATAAAATAATGATTTTCTGTCGCATTTAAGTATTCAGCACTCAACACACCCGTCTACACTGTACGTGTAGATAATTTATGCATCATAATAATTCAAAGGTCATTAACCGTGTAATTATTTCGCTATTTGATCAAAGTAATGTCTTTTCTGTTTCAGGAAGGTGACATCTTACAGAGTAAGTACATGGTGTATTTCAATATAAATTAGAGAATTGGATTTTAATTTGATCCAAGTGCATGTATATGTTAGTTTTAAGAGCCATTAAAACAGGACAAATTTCATGAGCATCTTCTCGTCACTTCAGCCCCATTACGACCATACTTGAAAGGAAAGTCATGTATTCGTAGAATGCAGATGTGCTTCAACATTATTAGTCTAAATTGTCTTAATATGCAGTACACATATATTTATTGTACAGGATATGCATGCATGCTACTATGAATATGAATATTATGGTTTTGGTTTAAGGTACGAAAGATAAACCACAAAATGCCAATGAAGGAACTGAAATCTTCACAACGCCAACCACTTGCATTCTGACTCTTTTTTAATAATGTTTACATTGTGTTACACGTTTGGGGACAGGTATCACCACACCGCCAATGGTCCCCTCTCAAGAACGAACGAGCATCAACCCTCTGTCTACCACAGTGCGAGATGATGGAGCAGGGTCTAGTGGGTTTGGGAGGGACACACAACCAACATCTGCAGGTGGGAATTACCATTTAATTATCGTCCATCACAACGACTTTGTAAAGTGTCTGTTTCTTCAATGTGTTCTTTTTAAATGTCTAGGACATTCGTGTAAGCATCTAACATACGTCAAAAGTGATCACACATCAACCCTCTGTCTACCACAGTGCGAGGAAAGAAGAGGAGACGATCAGAAAGTCGGAGAGAAGATGATGGAGCAGGGCCTAGTGGGGTTGGGAGGGACACACAACCAACATCTGCAGGTGGGAATTACCATTTAATTATCGTCCATCACAACGACTCTGTAAAGTGTCTGTTTCTTCAATGTGTTCTTTTTAAGTGTCTAGGACATTCGTGTAAGCATCTAACATTCAAACATACGTCAACAGTGATCATGCATTCTGTATCATTACAATGCACTGTTAACTTCACTTTGACCTTTATCATCTTCATGTGATGTTTGTTTGCTTGTCAGTCTTAGCCATGCATTTTTAAATACATTAACACATTACGTTTGATCTATGTAAATAGTACTTTCTGTGAATAAGATATACAAATGCAAATTAGGGATGGTAGAAATGTTAGGAATGGTATAGTCACTTGGTCATGTTGAATATCGTGTGGGCTAAAACATACAATCTTATGTAAACTACACGAAAAATGAAATGACAGCAATTTTGATACACAGCACATGAACTGTATTAAAACCTTTTGAAAGCTCGAATATTAAAATAAAAACACAGTCATTTTACCTCAAGTTTATTATAAGAATTACGATCTGTTTATCATGTTTGAAGTGAATTCAAAATGACATTAGACCATTTCAGTACAGCTAAACTAATTGTGACAGGAAAAGCAGAATGTGTATGTGCATGTACAGGTTAATTGTACAGGGGAAGTGCAATGAGCAGTGGATAACGGTCTAATGTGTCGTCCTATAGATGAACCGAGAAACTATACCTAAGTTCGGGCAGTGACAACAGCAAGGATTTGAACTCTCAACATCTAGGTCCAAAAGAAAGGTACAGTAACAAACCACTGGACTATGCACATGCCCCTTGATCCAATTTGAAATTATCCATGCTTGTTACAGCTGATCATGACATGCAGGTATGCTTTGAGAAAGTCATTGCCGGTGTCAGCCGCAAGTGGGATGACCTGGCCCGGAAGCTAGGCTTCAATGAGAACCAGATAGATGACATCCATAACGTCAAGTTAGACCAGGGCCGCAGGTGCAGGGAGATGCTGCGCAGGTGGAGAGACAGGGAGGGAAGTGAAGCTACTCTAGAGGTTCTAAAGCAGGCACTCATCAACATTGGTGAACGGCTGACTGCAGAGAGCTTGTGAGGTGTGTCTTATTTTGTCTTCAATAACAAATGGAAATCATTAATTTCTCATGGTATATCTATATTCTTATGCATTATTACACTCAATCAGCAATGCTATCCACTTTTTCTTTTCTTTTTTTATCATACAAGTGTCATCATGGTTGCCGGTTTTAGTATGACTGAATAATCTCAGGAAAGACTTTTAAAGTTAACTCATAGGTTGATGTATTAGTTATTAATGTGCATAAAAAACTTATACATGGCTTCATGTACATCTTTACGCGCCATTCTCCTTCATCATGCCTGTAACGTTACATGTACTTTGTACTTTTCAATCTTGATATGTTTCAGAACCTTACAACCATCTTGATCATATGTTGCAGAACTTTGCGATGACCTGTTCAAAGCTCTTTCTACTCAGCACTGGACCATCCACCGCTTACTGGTACCATAACAACCCATAATGTTGGATTATGATCGCAGTTGCAGAGAAATGTTGCACAGATGATTGGAAGATTGGAAACTGAAACGTAATTCAGAAGTTAGTGCCTGCAATGTGACCATGATGGTTACGGTTCTTTACTGTCACAGAAAACTAATGTTTTATTCTTTAAACCCTACTAGCAAACTTGTCACTTAAATTTAGAAGATTTTGGATTTAGTGATTCATTTTAAGGAGCTACGATTTTTTTTTAATTATCAGTAGATTAGCATCTCGGCAGTAACAATTTTGGAGGCTCAGGAGTACAATAAATTTATTTTCAGGCTTTTCAAGCCAATTGATTACTAATGGAATCAAGAGTGACATATTGATCTGACTCTATCTTAATCTCATCTTAATCAGATTCAAAGCTCCAATGTAATAATTTTCATGAAATTTACATACAAAAATGTCATCATGGAGTCACATTTTGATCCAGTCGTTACTACATGTAGAAACAGATGCAACTAAGATTTAGTACTTTCCGTCCCCACTAAGTGGATATTCAGTGATGAGTGAGAATAACTTCCTATATTAGTTGTATTATCAGTGTGGTTTGATGGAGTTACACTATGCATGTTTCATGTGTGTTGGTCGATGAAGGTTAGACATCCAGGTAATACGATACGCCAAAAAGCAGTTACTCAAGCAACTGGATATGATTTTGAAAACGTCAGACGTTTCAGCTAGTATCCACTAGCTTTCGTCAGTGACTGAGAGACCAGAGGGGAAAGCAGGTTTATAAGCACAGCCTATTGATTGATATGCAAATAAAGTGAAGACAAATTTTTGGAAGTCGAAAAAGGAACAAAAGTGAGACAAGTCAAGACAAGATGATGCAAATTAGTCTGAAAGCAAATTAGCTTTCAGACTAATTTCGATCTTTCCGGCACTTGGGATTTGGCACTCCAAGCCCCGAGGAAAGACAACACTTAAGCTCATGTTCTGTATAACAGGAGCTTTCAGACTAATTTGCATCATCTTGTCTTGACTTGTCTGACTTTTGTTCCTTTTTCGACTTCCAAAAATTTGTCTTCACTTTATTTGCATATCAATCAACAGGTTGTGTATATAAACCTGCTTTCCCCTCTGGTCTCTCAGTCACTGACGAAAGCTAAAGGATACTAGCTAAAACGTCTGACCGTTTCCAAAATCATATCCAGTTGCTTGAGTAACTGCTTTTTTTGCGTTTCATGTGTGTTGTTGAATCATTCTGTTGTAAATGTAACATCACCATTAAATTTCACATGTACCGCCCAGTCCATGAGGAAATTAAAGATCTTTGTAACATCAATTGCTTCCCTGTTAGGCTTTTTATGAATTAATCAAACAAATGACTATCTGTTAAAAAAGAATGCAGTACATGGGTAACATTTGTATGACAATAGTACATCTTTGGTTTAATGAATTTGTGAATGTTTAGTTATGACTTAACTAATGTGTGTATTCTTTACGTTTCTTACCCGTGTTTTATTCTCCATCAGCTGAAAAATAGTGAGTCATTGAATAACTTGTATCATATATTGATATATGTAGCCTCATTGCATCATGCATATGATAATGATGATCCGGCTCAGGAGACAATAAGGTAATAATCATAATGTAGTGAGTACATCTATTTTATGTACGGTTTTCTCAACTAAAATTACATATATTTCATTTGCGAAATTCCTATACTTTGGAAATGTTTCATCATTTCATCATTAATTATGTAAATGACCTCCACATTAAAATACTATGTGCATAAGGGACGTTAACCTTAAACTAACTTACACATGCCCCAAGTATGAAATGCACATCAAGGAATCGTAGTATTTTACAGTGATTATGCAAATTCGGTATTAATTTGCATACTAAGTATCTGTTTATGTTCCACTTGCATAGAATACGTACATGCAACAATTTTTTTCCAAAATCAGGCGAACATTAATGCGCGCGCTGATGTCATCCATAAAAATTACTTGCTGGGGCATAACGCCTAAATATCTAACAACAGGAGAGAGTCAGCGGTAACTACGGAGCGTGATATCCAGGTTGAAAATAATACCCATCACAGTAACATGTCCAGATCATGAGATATCAAAAACCGGAATTCCAGCTGCAGTACCAAAACAAACCGCCAGTGTGTAAAAGATAGAATCATGTCAAGGTCTCATCAAGACCTGCTCATCTATCAAATATCAATACAACCCATCAAAGCCTTCTTGCACACACACACACGCGCACACATGCACACACACACACACACACACACACACACACACACACACACACACACACACACACACACACACACACACACACACACACACACGCCCACGAGCGTCTTCAAAAGCATATATTTAAGAAGAATTTGGGCCTTTCAGTAAAAAGGTGATAATTCATTACGCATCCTTGCATGTGTATCGCACATCATGGCGTTTGAACTCATACATCCAATATGCCAGATCACACTATATAATGTGTCATTATTATGATATTTATATAAGGTGGCGTGCGCAATGACTGAAAATAATTGGCGCCAGAAAATTGGCAAGCCATGCATACCCATACATTGTTGTCCTTACAGACGCCGTCATTAATATTTAAAATGTCATCACTTAACTCCAGATGACGAAATCGCTTTGTCTCAGGTGACAGTTACTTGCTCGTTAAGCTACAGCTACAGGTGTCGTTTGGTATCTTCTGTGTAGGGGTGATGATGCTCAGTAATTTGTTCACATCCTTTGAAAAAAATATATATATATAGTATTTCTAGGTACAATACAAATCATTCTACATGTACATCATACTAAAATAAAAACATAAAAGTTGGTATATGCCGAATGCCTTTCCCCGCAGTATTTCTAAACAAGGTCCCTACCTGTCGATACAATGGTTTCGCCCTAGGTCTGCCAGTGAAGTGTCAAAACAATTTTTGTAACCGCCGCCGCAGTTGGAGGGAGTGTTTTGGTTATGAGAAGTCTGTCCAGTCATAATCCACGGACGCTACGTTGGGCGTTTTAGTGCGCCTATCGCACAGAGAGTTTGTTTGTCTGTCTGTCTGTCTGTTTGTTTGTTTGTTTGTTTGTTTTCAAAGGTTACATTGTTGTGAACACAAGGGAGAGGCGTTATATGGGCTGTATCGTGGCGTTCTACTACGGACGTGTGAAAGGGCAAAGGTAAAGCAATTTTTACGCGAATATTTTGTCTTGAATACCTCAAATAACAAGAACAGCTATCCCGTATAGGTTTGTATTTTTCTTCGTTTTCTGTGTGTGTGTTTGTTTGTGTGTGTGTGTGGTTGTGTGTGGTTGTGTGTCTGTGTGTGTGTGTGTGTGTGTGTGTGTGTGTGTGTGTGTGTTGTTGTTGTTGTTGTAACATTCGCTATGTATAGAACACAGGATGGGGTAGAGATAGTGTAGCCAAAATATGGCCTAGACTCGACATCCTAGTGTCCAGTATATCGTTGTTTGGTCGGGTTCTCTTCGGAGCTTCTTGGGTTCTTTGCAGCTCGACTCAACTAGCACCAGCTCTCCGGTAGGTTTTGCACGACGACAAATTATCCCCACCACGAATATTCTCGTGGAGCTAATCAAACTCCTGCCTGCCGTGCAAAACGTTCACCGGGCGGCCTGTTGAACTGGGCGGGGGAGAAGTACTAGGGCCCCGACGAAAGCCTGCTGCAACCACGATAGACTGGACACCAGCTGCAGGCTAATACACGACGGTGCTTTCATGCTGTTTGATACCGAGAGTCTCTGTTTTTACCAGAATAACGCTGTGGAAGCCAACGTCATGACGGGACTACGGGCACGTTCGTTAGTAGCCACCGTCCTATGTTTCCTCGTGTTCTTGTCTCAGAGTGATCTGGTCAAGCCACTATTGGGGTAAGAAAAGAATTCTGTCCTTCTGTTTTCAAATTGTTTAAGTCACACACACAAAAACATGCAGAAACGTGCTGTTAAGTGGAAGTGTTTTGACATGATAGTTTAAACATGGGTAATCGTATACGTATGTGTAACATGAAATGGAAATAGCTGGAACCAGCGTACAATATTAGGCCACACCAAGTAAACTTTTATTGATGACGTCCTTTGGAGACCCTAAATCTAATGCGAGAGGGCGAAAAAAACAAGAAGGGCCCTAAAAAAACAAGATGCCTAGATTAGAAATATACTAAGAGACGACAAATGTTAGGACACAAATTGAATGAGGTGACACAGTGTAACAAGCAAGAAGTCTTTTCTTCATTATAAAAACAGCAATAAATCAGGTGGAACAGCAGTTGTCGTCCTGTGCTTTGGGGAGATAGATGGAGCGGTCAGCAAGTTTCTTCAAATGTGGCAGCATATACCAAACTGAATTCCTAAAGGAAGTCATGATTTCCTTGCTTGATGCTTCATAAGCTTTGGTCCGCACAAACCTATTTGCGGCACTGTCGTGACTCTTTGGTCATAGTTACAGGAAGCGGAATTTCTTGTGTGTTTTTTTTTCTAGGAACAGGCCAAAATCAATGCGCGCGGGTACGTCATCCATAAAATTTACTTGGTGTGGCCTTACGAAAACAAACAACCGTTTTCCGTCTGCGACAAAGCAATTTTGCCTCACATATATCGGTATTGACTTTAAAATTCGAACTTTAGCCATGAACGTGCACGTAAATAATTATGTTGTTGTTGCCTGTATGTATTGTTTGGACCTGCAGCTTTATTCAGAAATTAGGTGTACATGTAGTATGACGTTACTTTGTTTATATACGAAAAGCACTAAACGTTGTCGTGTATAACTTACTATCTGTGTCCATAATATCACCAGGGTCTATAATATCGCCACCTTGAGAAATAGTGTGCTTAAAGATATTTTTACTGCAACATACCCTAGGTGTGCAGGAGTGCACACCAAAAGTATGTTGCAGTAAAAATATCTTTAAGCACACTGCTCCTCAAGGTGGCGATATTATAGACCCTGGTGATATTATGGACACAGATGTTAGAAGTTGGAAGTTGAAAGAAACAAAAGCAAGTTGGTTGACTGAGACGAATTGGTCCTACAGAACCAACGTGTGCTCGAAGGTTGAAAGCTATGACTGCCAGGCAGCGTACAGTCAGCGGTACACAACTAGATGTGGGCTTTGGGGTGGGTGGTCTTGCACAGGGTTAGTGTACTAAATTGTGATTATCTATTTGTCACTTTTCTTTCCTCTGATCCATAGTGCTTTTAAAAGTCGTGAACTTAACAGATACTATAGCTGGTAGAGCCTACGTCATGATAGTTTGTGCATGAACAGGCCTCTAGATTAGCATCTTATATGTCTTCCTGAGGGGATATGGATGGATCAATTAGTTAATTAAATAATTAATGAAAATTGATCAAAACCTTTATTGTCTTTCGATACCACTATGTGTTCACATTATAGAAATAGCTTTATATAAACGCAAAATCTCGCTAGCACTAGCACAATGACAGTAATGTTCCGCAAGAATACTGTCGGTAACTGGGGGAGTCAGCCGCGACGGGTGAACGGTTCGAGCTAGCCTGAGTAAAATATTGTCCATCGGCCCATTTTGTTATTCTGGTTGACATTAGGTCTTTTATAAGAAATGACCCGCCTCTTCTGTGACTGAATTCCTGTTGTAGGTACCGGATTGCCTACCGACCATCGACATGCCAGAGAACAGTCCACTACTGTTGCACTGGATATGAAGAATCCGGAGATTCCTGTGTCCGTAAGTGTTCATGTTCTAACCGTAACAAGTTAGAAGCACAAACATATTCACACACACAAACTCACGCATGCACACACACACAGAGACACACACACAAACTCACGGGCACACATTCACAAACACACACACGTAACTTTTATTCCAACATGTAATCACCAGACGTGGTAACGACACACTCAAGTTTCTTCAACTCATATTAATGCCGCCACCAACACAGGGGACACATACATTACAGAACAATACTCATATACACCTGAGCTAAGTGAGGAAAGTCGTATAAAGTGCCTTTTCCAAGGGCACAAGATCGGTGGCATGTCAGGACTCGAACCCGGGACTCTTAGTTCCGAGTCGCGCACTCTGCCGCTACGCCACACGACCCCACATCACTGTGACACACACGTAACTGTTACGAGCACACACATACACAAGCACACATACACGCACACAGACACACCCATGAACAAACACACAGACACACACAGACACACACACGCGCGCGCGCGCATACGCACACACACACACAAAAAAAATGCACACGTGCATACAAACAGACCTACATTCATAGACACGAACAAAAACATTGTAAAGGGATGGACAAATAAATCAAACATTTCTAACATTTCTGATCTTATACTTCATTGTTTTCCAGCAAAATCCTGTGTAGAACTGAATGCCCCTCACCACGGAGACATGAGCGGTGGCCATCATTACGGAGATGTGGTCACCTTCCAGTGTTCCTCTGGGTTCGTGCCGGTTGGATCCTCAGAACGCACCTGTCAGGCCGACCAGACATGGAGCGGCACTGACTTCTCCTGCCACCGTACGTTACATATTCATTCCTTTGGCAAATCACTAGTACCTAAGAGGTCTTGCCTACTATTTTATTCTCATCATCTAGGGTGGCTTGAATCACATTCTATAAGTTTGTCTTTCTGATGTCTTCTCCACTTAAAACTATTATAAGAAGACCTCCAAACCGAACAGTAGGCCCCATTTTTACTAAATGTTGCCATCATAAACCCCTTTCAGAAGGCCTGGTGGAGGCTATCTGAATGTACTACCAGGGTTCATGAGTCCGTTTGGTGACTAATTAGCTTAAAACTACTGCTTCATTCAAAATTAGCTAGCAGACAGAATGCAAATGTACAATTTTATAAGCAAGTTAGCTATTTTTTTACTATCCAAGAAAGGAGGTTATAATGTCCTTCTTCTATCCAAATAATTTTTAGTCCAGACTTGTTGTTTAGCCGTAGAGAACGTAAGAGCAAAGCTCTGACATAATTACCTACATTACCGTAATGTCAAATGAATTATTTAGTGAGCTATGCATTCAAACATCAGTGCTGCCTGAATGAACAGTTTTATCAGGTTGGTAGGTCACCGCAACCAAGCCATGACGTTTGTTCGGTGATTCAGTCGCGTTTGGGACCGCATTCTCTGTTGCTCTGTTTATCTACTTGACAACAATTATGTTTATACAGCACTCCTGTGCGTTTGGAACCGCATTGTAGATACCGTACCCTGTAACTGTGTAACCGCATCAATAAGAGGCAACATATATGCTGCGCAATGTGAACCAGTTGCTCTGAAAAAGGCGGTAGACGGTCACCTAAACGTTGGCTGAATAAACCACTTGGATTGCAGAAGAAATCGAGGGTCATTTTTATTCAGCATTAAGGCCAGACCGCCTTAATTTTATGGATGACATTCGCGCGCGCGTAGATTTTTGCCTGTTCTAAAAAAAAAAACAAGATCACGTCCTCCTGGCATGGCCTGGCTCTAGGCCAGGGTAGTCCATGGCAGTTAGCAACAATAGGGAGCCGGCGGTAACTCTGGAGGACGGAACTCAGGCTACCGAAGCTCCACGACTCAAGATCTCTGAACGTACAGTGCCGATTCATGAACTCCGCAAAAAGCCAGCATGTACCGGTTTGTCGTAAACGTCGCTATGTACTGACGCAAATTCACAATACCAGCTCTGTATTCCTGTGGTTTATTGGCATTTTTATATTTGGCCGGAATTTTTTTGTATTCGGCCGCGCGCACTAGTTTGGGGGTCTTCAGGGGATGTTATCCATAAAATTAAGGCGGTGTGGCCTTACTGTATGTCGAACCAATGATGTTTTTGTTTCACCGCAGGTCCTTGCCAGAGGGAATACATCTTGTTCGAGGCCGAGGGAACGTGTCTCAAGTTCGCCGACGACAGGGAAACGTACCAAGGATCAAGGGATTCCTGCCGGGAATATGGCAATGGTGGAAAACTGGTCGTCATCAAAACTCCGGCAATGGACGAATTCATCGAGACCAATCTCAGAAACATGGGGCGCAATGATTCCGATGGAGAGACATGGATTGGTTTGGACAACCTTACCGATCAAGTGAGCTATAGTTTTCATAGCTGCCTTTGCAACGGCGTTATAGGTTTTAGTTGACGATAGCATTTTTGATCTCCAATTGACATTTAGCGGTTTGATTTGGTTGCTAGACTAGGCGTTGCGTAAAGATTGAACGTATGTAAGTTGGCAATTATGATATTTTCAAAATTTCATGTACAACTCTATGTTGTAAATTGGTTGAAATACACGGGACTTAATTTGGTTGTGGTAGGGAAAAGGATCTGTATCTGTATAGCCGGTATAACCGCCTTTCGGCGTAACACACCAGGATGTGTTTAAAGAGCTGCCGTTGCTGTTAAGCCCATCACACACATAGCCGAATATGGCCTTCCGAACACCTAACACTACTACCCAATCACCCACCCACCCATAAACCAACCAACCAACCAACCCACCCATCCATCCATCCACCCACTCACCCCCAATTCACCAGGCAACCATGGATGAGGGGTTCAGCTATGGTTGCCTGGTGTTTCGGTGGTGCCTAGGGATCAAATTAACTCAAATTCTATTTGATTTGTACATGCTTGTAGGCGTGGCCTACATTTAGCCAGACTGCTCCCGAGCTTCAACCAACTTTGGTTGATTGGGGGAAGGTTCTGAATGTGTATCAGGCAATGCAAGGCAGAACATGCTGGTGTCCCATTCCTCAATATACACTCCCTATTAACGGTACCTTTTCATCTTTGATGTGTTTTTTTTTTTTCACAAAAACCAATCCATGTACGCACAATTGCAATCGTTATTCGTCTTTTGATTGTAATTCAATTTCATCCCATATCAAGGGAAATTTCGTATGGAGCGATGGCAGCGTCCTGTCGACACAGGACTACCAGAACTGGGGTATTGGGCAGCCAGACATAGACGCAGAGCGGTGCGTGGAAATTTGGCCACAGAGTGGCTACAAATGGAACAACATCCCGTGCCACGATAGCAACTATTACATCTGTCAGAAAGGTACCTCAGTGGGCAGCACCACTTCATTTTTAATTTCATTTTATTTATTTACCCATGGTAAAACATATCGCCGCAAGGGCGTTTTTCAATGTTCCCTGCCGACATACATTTACAAAATATAATTAAGAAACAAACAAGGAAACAAAGATACAAAATAACTTAATCATAATAATAACATATTGGTAAAAGTGCTTCAAAATCAAAAGGCAAAGTAACGACTGAATATATGAAACAAGCGAATGAGATATTATACAAATGAAATAAATAAATAAAGAAGGTAATGCAAATTTACAGGGCGAGGATATCATATTATCACTTGTACTTTCCACACCTTTCGGACCGGTCGCTACCGTGGTTCGTTCGAGTGGGCCGAGAAATTATGGAAGACGCGGCAAAATTAGGAGCACGTGTACATCTGCACTGCGATTGGTTAGGGCGGATCAAGTTTACACTGTGATTGGCTAAGACAGGTCGTGCCCCGCCCGTGATCACCACGTGATAGAAGTCCACTTGTGTATCACTATTGCGTAACATCACTTCATGACCCCCTAGGTATCTACATTAAAAACCTATAAATTAAGCATCACTGGGACTGACCTAGCACCACACATCTTAGCAGGCGTTGTGGGTGCTTTCAATGACTTCACACTGAAGTAACTCGCCGGTATCTCCTTATATGTATAGTGAATTTGGTCGTGCAGAATTTAACCAAAGCTCGCGCAGTGTCAATACGTCCTTTTCCTTGCTACAGCCGTGAAATGTGCACGTCCGACTGCTCCTGAAAACGGTGCGATGACTCCTTCTGGCTCCCAGCAAGACCCCGTCAAGTTCTTTTACCAAGACACGGCAGAGTTCTCCTGTAACGCGGGGTACGGTCTCACCGGTCAGACAAGCATTAGCTGCCGGGAAGACGGCTCGTGGAGTAGCGGCGTCCCCACGTGCACAGGTAAGGCTGGTGGTCCTATATGTCAAACAATGAATACGATTCTGCCTAACAGGTCATTTTAGGTGGGGCATTGAATGCACAGAGCACTTCTAACCCTGTAATATGTGTAACATATTATCAGCTAATTAAGATGGAGAGTGATTATTATTAATATGTTGTATTATAATTTATTATTATTATTATAATTTATTATTATTATTATTATTATTATTATTATTATTATTGTATTATTATTATTATTATTATTATTATTATTATTATTATTATTATTATTATTATTATTATTATTATTATTATTATTATTATTATTATTATTATTATTATTATTATTATTATTATTTTATTATTATTATTTTTATTATTATTTTTATTATTATTATTATTATTATTATCATTATTATTATAGTAAGTCATTTTCTTTTTGTATGTGGAGTTGTTAGAATACGTCTAGTTGCAGCATCTCTGTTTTTGTCTAAGGCCTTGCTGATTTAATTGCTTATATGGATGTCATACTCTGGGAACCCCAAAACTGGTGCGAGCGAGCGAATAAATACAAATTTGCAAAAAAAAGGTTTCTTCATTATGAAATCTTTATGATCACAAAGGTTGAAACAATGACACGGAGTATGGCATGGCAAATAATCTACTCTTCAAATTCATTTCTTTACATTTTCGTCTTTTTATCATTCTGAAATATTTTTTTGCAACTTACGGTTCATATTAATTTTGCTCATTTTGCAACTGTTCTGTACGATTTACAGTATGGTTGAAAACTCATGCGCGCGCGGATGTCATCCATATAATCAAATCAACATGGCCTAATTGTAAATGAAAAAAGGTCATTTTTTGTGAATATTCAGTGAATACCCATTGCAAAATGTCTGTCTCCCTGTATCAGCCGTACCGTGTCCGCAGCCAACCGTTCCTGTAAACGGTGAGATGACCAGCGGCTCTGACCCTGACCATGACATGGTCAACTTCACCTTCCAGGACACGGTCAGCTTCACCTGTGACCTTGGTTACGACCTTGTAGGTGCGGAGAGCGTCACGTGCCAGGCGGATAGCACCTGGAGTGACAGTTTCCCCACGTGCACACGTAAGGCTTGGTGTCCAATGGCAATGCAAATTTAGAGCGGCAAACGCTTTCCTGAATGGGAAAATGTTCTGACATTTCTGATATTGACATTTTCTGACAGTTCTAGCACATTATAGTCATGATTAAATACGTAAAGCATTTTTAAAGTTAAAACATTTGGTCCAACACAGAAAAGTTCTCTCACCTGGAGCTTTCGACCAGTCACTCTGGTCTTCCTCAGTAAACAGACCCAGTGAAGCTTGGCACGTGGCTTCTTTGAAGTGTGACGTTAACACTGGGTCAAAGGTATACCTGGTAGACGATGTCGCCCCCGCCGTGATTCAATGAAGGATGAGGAAATTTGTCTGATATTAACATTTACTGCCATTTCTTAGCACATTTTCGTAATCATTTCATACTTAAAGCATTTTTTTAAATAGCCTTCAAACAAGTTCCTTCATTTTTGGGTATCGCCCCTAATATAGAAAGCAGAAGTTTGGTATCGTCTCAAAGGGTATGACACAAGTATTCCAGAACAGCAAACCGTTTTGGAATATCGTCTTTGGTTTTGGAATAGTACGTGTTTAAACTTTTCAGTTGACGCTATGGTAAAAAGTTAATGATCATGTAATGGTTAGGGTTAGGGTTACGGTTAGGGTTAGGGTTAGGGTTAGGGTAAAGGAAGGTCCTAGAAAGCAAAAGTTTGGTATTGTTTGAAAGGGTATGACACAAGTATTCCAGAACAGTAAACCGTTTTGGAATATCGTCTTTGGTTTTGGAATAGTACGTGTTTAAACTTTTCAGATGACGCTATGGTAAAAAGTTAATGATCATGTAATGGTTAGGGTTAGGGTTTGGGTTATGGTTAGGGTTAGGGTGAAGGAAGGTCCTAGAAAGCAAAAGTCTGGTATCGTTTGAAAGGGTATGACACAAGTATTCCAGAACAGTAAACCGTTTTGGAATATCGTCTTTGGTTTTGGAATTGTACGTTTTAAACTTTTCTGATGACGCTATGGTAAAAAGTTAATGATCATGTAATGGTTAGGGTTAGGGATACGGTTAGGGTTAGGGTAAAGGAAGGTCCTAGAAAGCAGAAGTTTGGTATCGTTTGAAAGGGTATAACACAATTATTCCAGAACAGCAAACCAATTTGGAATATCGTCTTTGGTTTTGGAATTGTACGTGTTTGAAGTTTTTCAGATGACGCTAGGGTAAAAAGTTAATGATTATGTAATTAGGTTAGGGTTAGTTAGTTAGGTTAGGGTTAGCTTGAAGGAAGGTCCTAGAAAGCAAAAGTTTGGTATCGTTTCAAAGGATATGACACAAGTATTCCAGAACAGCAAACCGTTTTGGAATATCATCTTTGGTTTTGGAATTGTACGTGTTTGAACTTTACAGTTGACCATATGGTAAAAAGTTAATGATCATGTAATGGTTAGGGTTAGGGTTAGGGTTAGGGTTAGGGTTAGGGTAAGGGTGAAGGAAGATCCTAGAAAGCAGAAGTTTGGTATCGTTTGAAAGGGTATGACACAAGTATTCCAGAACAGCAAATCGTTTTGGAATATCGTCTTTGGTTTTGGAATTGTACGTGTTTGAACTTTTCAGATGACGCTATGGTAAAAAGTTAATGATCATGTGATGGTTAGGGTAAGGTTTAGGTTAGGGTTAGGGTTAGGGTTAGGGTTAGGGTTAGCTTGAAGGAAGGTCCTAGAAAGCAAAAGTTTGGTATCGTTTCAAAGGATATGACACAAGTATTCCAGAACACAAACCGTTTTGGAATATCGTCTTTGGTTTTGGAATCGTACGTGTTTGAACTTTTTCAGATGACGCTAGGGTAAAAAGTTAATGATTATGTAATGGTTAGGGTTAGGGTTAGGGTGAAGGAAGGTCCTAGAAAGCAAAAGTTTGGTATCGTTTGAAATAGTATGACACAAGTATTCCAGAACAGCAAACCGTTTTGGAATATCGTCTTTGGTCTTGGAATTGTACGTGTTTGAACTTTTCAGTTGACGCTATGGTAAAAAGTTTATAGATCATGTAATGGTTAGGGTTAGGGTTAGGGTTAGGGTTACGGTTAGGGTTAGGGTGAAGGAAGGTCCTAGAAAGCAAAAGTTTGGTATCGTTCGAAC